GAGATGGGAGGAAGGAAGGAGACTAGTAAGGGTGGAGACTATAGGCAGAAGAAAAAGCGAAAGGTTTAGGGGATGAATATGGTCAGAGTATAAGACAGACCTGAAAGAAATTGTCATTATGAAATCCAGCATTATGTACAATGAATACGCCAATAACACAACAATCAGCATTCCAAAAACAGAGGCAGGTGGATATCTTTGAGTTCAAGGTCAACCTGATTTATATAGTTAGTTCCAGGTCAGCCAAGGCTACACAGCAAAGCCCAGTATCAAATGAAACAAAACAACAACAATGATAAAAATAGAAGCTGGAGAGATGGCTCAGCAGTTAAGAGCACTGACTGCTCCTGCAGAGGATCTGGGTTCGGTTCCCAGCACTTACATGGTGGCTAACCACCATCTGTAACTCCAGTTCCAGGGTCTGATGCCCTCTTCTGACCTCTGAGGGCATTGCATGACATAAGTGTGCTTACATGCATGCAGGCAACACGCTCATACACATAAATAAAAATATTTAATAATAGTAAAGGTAGAAAGACACAGGGTCTTGGACACGTGTCATGGATGTCCCTACCCACAAATCCACTCATGGCCCTCCCCCTCACTTAGAATCAGGAGTCCTGTCATCTCAGGCTTTATAGCATGTGGTAATTTGCATACATAAACATCTTTTCTCAAACATGTGACTGTGAAATTCTGGGACTTTCCTGGCAAAGTGAAGTATCACATTCATTCAAAGAAGCAAGAAAATAGAGGACTCAGATGTGGGAGCACTGTGTGAAATGAATGAGACATTGTGATGACCGAAGGGCTCCAGGGAGAGGCTAATTCCCAATTCCAGAGCTCCTTCAGTACTCACTGCTGAGTTCGGGGTTGACCCCAAAGACTGCTTCTAGAGATGGATTTTTTTAGGCCTATTGAATTTAGTTAGGTTTGATACTGGAGACTAATTTTTGAGCTGGAAGTTCAATAATCAAATCTCTGTACTCTGTATCTTACGGATGCTGGTGGCCATGGGGGGCAGAACAGACATGGTGCACATGGGCTAGATGACTTAAGGGTTGAGAGGCACCAGACTAGGTAAGAGATGATAGAGATGGAACAGAAGTAACAGCTGGAAGGAAAGAAAGGCAGATTGCAAGAGTCCCAGTAGCAGCTAACAGGCCTATGAGGAGCTGGCATATCGGGAGCTGATGAGAGAGAAGGCTCCTCCAGACACCATGTGACAAAGGACAATGTTAATGAGACTGCAGAGAGCTGAGCTTGTCTATGCTAACTGCTGACCAAAGTGACCAGGAAGTCAAGGGATGATCCAGAGTCCTTTCTGTTCTGTGTAAACTCTGGGTGCCGAACTTGAATGGATTTGGTCTGCAGGTTGTCTGATGGGCTAAGGAGCAGAAGTCACCTTTTCATCTCAGGCCTATGCTAGCTTAGTCACTGTGGAGTGTGGGGATTGGGGAATTCTGGATGGACCAGTCTGGGATGACTTGTTATTACAAGGCTGACATGGGCTGAGGGGTGGATCAGAAACTCCAAGTTCTTGGAGTCCATAGACTTTAGCAAGAACCAGGTGAGGAACAGAACAAGACCCGCTAAGCCTATAGCTCTGCTAGCAAGGACAAGGAGGGTTTTGATACCGTTGATCTCCATGCCATTCCACCCTGCAGGAGACCTCAGTGTCTGTGTATTCATGTGCTGTGTGCATGCATGAGTGTGTGTGTGTGTGCGTGTGTGTGTGTGTGACATCTATGAGAAAACTGGCCTACAGGAAGCTCCTGTGGACATCATAGTATACCAGGCATGCTTTTGTCGTACACTGTGATGAGCTGAGGAAAGTTAAGTGAGGCTCTGAGGAGCACAGTCTTTGACATTGTTGCCCATTCTTCAGGGCTACAGGAAATGCCTGTGTTCAGCTCTATTGTAATTATTAACAGTGCTCGTACTAAGGTTCTCAATCTGCAAAGCAATCCTGATCTGCTGAAGATGCGCATATCATGCCCTGTGATGGGCCAGGGTCTCATACAACAACACACTCTGTGTTAGATGGCAAAGAATGGTGCTGTGTGGACATAGAGATGCTGCTTCTTCAAAGTCTTATTCTGACTAGACTCCAGGGAAAATGCAGAACACTTTCATGAACCGTAAAACCAGTAACCTACAGCCCGGTGTGGTGATATATGCCTTTAATCCCAGCACTTGGGAGGCAGAGGCAGGCAGATCTCAAAAAGACCAAACCAAACCAAACCAACATAAAAAAACCCCTGTAACTCAAACTCGCAAGCATACATATACTAAAATGTATATGTTCTAAATGAACTAAATATCTTCCAAAAGCTGTTTTGCTTGGTTTACTTTTTTCAGGGTCTCCTTGTAGCCCCAGCTGGCCTGGAACTCACCATGTAGAGCAGGCTGACTTGAACTCATAGAGATCTGCTGCTTTTGAGACAGGGTCTCCCTATGTAGCCCTGACTGACTGACATGGAATTATGGTTGTCCAGGCTAACCTCAAAGTTGCAGAGATCTTCCTGAGTGCTGGAACTACAGGCCTGAGTACCACAGCCAGCTTTCAAAAGATCTTATTAAATATCGTTTCTCATGGAAGGAAATACTTAAATAATCACACTCTGGTAATTAAATGGGACTACGAATATATGCTAGTCAAGCACTGTATTTAAGGTGTGTTTTCTTAAGATTGGATTCCAGCAGACAGGCTTACAGCCATGTGCCTCTGAGTATAAAGCTATGGTGGGAAGCCTGGACAGTGGGACCCAGGCCCCTGCAGTGTAGACAAATGACCTGGAGGGAAACGCCCCTGTGGTCAAGAAACATCAAGGTTGGGGGCTGGCGTGTAGCACAATAGCCGAGCATCTGTTCATTATAGGCAAGCCCCTAGGTTCCATCCTCAGAACCAAAGATTTTAAAAAAGATGTGGTCTGTCATTTTCATGTAGTCTGCAGAGGATACCGCTCCCTAGGGGCACCAAGTGGATGAGGGTAACTCTTCTGCTCAAGGAGCAAGGCCTGGGGGGGGGGGGTGTCTCTTTTCAGGTTTAGGCTGTATTCTAATTTTGATCTGCTTTCCAGGAGTCCTGGTACAGGTCACCATCCCTTAGTTCCCATCATAACCCTCCACACTCCTAGCCAGTGACATTTCTGGAGACTGGAGCCCAGGAACCGAGGAATTATCTTGCTTTGCCAAGAGAGGGCATTGTGGAACAAGAAGCAGTCTCAGCCCAACTCCCGGTGTGCTCACCCTGCATGCTAGTGAGATCTTGGCTTACTGGGGCCTGCCGCAGCAAGGTGCTCCTTCTGCTTTGGACGACTAGTTAAGCCCTGCAAAAAGCTTGTAGGGTGGAGCTGGGGGTAAAAAGTTAGCCTAGCTACAAAATGCCCTGTTGTATAGAAGGGCGGTCAGCTCTACAACCCCTACAGCATACCACATTTCACCCCCAACTCAAATCCTGAACTTAGTTGCTTTGTGTGGTGTGCAGTCAACTAGAAAACAGCCACACCTTAACATTTCTGTGCAAGGAAGCTTCACTCTTCCCACAAGTGACTTTCTCACCATAATAGAAAGAAAAAGGTCACTTGCCTTAGGCAGTGCATTCCATTATTTCCAGCTTTCCACACAAATGAGATACTCCACATACATATTATTCTATTACATGCATCTGTACATTAAGCCATATCCCACATACATTATGTAAATCAAATGCACGCTCTTTCTTAGCCAGGCTAACTCCACTATTTTAAAAGCCATCAAATTATATATTGAAAATATAACAAATGTAAACAAGTCATTACCTTAATAAATTAAAAGCAATTAAGTCACCAATGCAAAGATAACAACGGAATAGAAGTGGCAATTAGTCTTTGCCTACAAAGCGCTGTACTTGAGTGTATTTGCTCAGACAACATGAGTGCTTCCAGACAGTGCTGAGAGTGCTACAGAAAGGCCCAGACGCCAGCCAGGTTGGGGGCTTTTAATTGTACCTTCTGGGCACTTGAGACTGAGCTCTGACTTCTTCACTTTGTGGTACCAGCTGGATCCCTGCCCCCCACCCCTAATGGCATATTTCTTGGATTTCCCCCTTCCTTCTCTACCTGCTGGTAGAAAGAAAGAAAGAAAGAAAGAAAGAAAGAAAGAAAGAAAGAAAGAGGGCAAGAGGGCAAGAGGGGGAGGGAGGGAGAGAGGGATGGAAGGAGGGAGAGAGGGAGAGAGGGAGGGAGGGAGGCAAAGACACGTGGAAGAAACCCCTACTAATTAACTATACCACAGCTAGGTCACCATAGGTTTGCTTTTCAAGGATGGAGAAACAATCCCCAACACAATCTGTAGGTGAGTAGGGTCTAATTAACATCCTCTCACTCAGGGTCTACCTCCCAGATCTCCAGGCACTTCTGGGTTAGAAGACCAAGGGAGACACTAAGGGAGGAGTTCTTTTATAAAAGAACTCTTCTGGTTCTTTTATCATAGGGATGGTACCACTTTCTGGCTTGTCTCATTACCTACAAAGCCCACAGCTTAGCTTACCCGGCTTCCAGTTCTGGTCAGCTCAGCATCTCCAGGAGGCAGCATCCACGGTCTCCACGGAGCTGGGCTGGAACTGAAAGGCAAGCATTAGGAGAGACTGAACCCCAGGCATTTCTGCTGCCTTCTAAAACGCTATCCTGAGAGCCTAGTATCTGCTTGAAAGAGTCCCCAGATACACCAACGCGTTCCTTCAGGTCTGTCTATGGATGGGCCAAAAGCTCCCCTTCTCTCCAGCAAAGTCTGGGTGCACTTACCTACATGCAGGCAATACACTCATACACACACACACACACACACACACGCACGCACACAGACACACAAATAATAAATAAAATATATTTTTTTAAAGTCTCGGTTTTCTGCCTTCAAGTAGACTCTGAGAAGATCCACCTAAGTCTAACACCACCATTGAGGAGTTTATTAGTCAAGGCCTTTTCTCCAAACCAACTTTCCCAGTTGATTCTTCAATTCTGGATTTTCCATTTTAGCTGGCTACTTTGTTGCTGGTGGGTTTCAAGGACACCACCTCTTGGCCCTGGAGGATCTTGATTCTCGCGCTCCACCTCCCGGAGGGGGAAATCTATTTCTCCACCGCCCACCAGCACCTTCCCCAGCCTCTAAGCTAATTTGATTTCTTTAAACTTCACAACTTTAAAAAGGGCCGGCGCCTAGGGCTAGGTAAACACTGAGCCCAGAGCCCAGGGAAAACAGACTGTCACTTTGTGGAAGAGTGAGGGTATTTGCAAGTTTCACTTAAGAAAGATGCCCCGAGTTTCTGTATTTCCCAGCTCCATCAGTTTCAGATTTTCTATAACCAGGCGTTGACCCATTTCCTTGCCTGGTATGTGCGGGGACCCTATACTTCAGAGCTGTGCGCCAGGAGAGGAGTTTGTGGCGGTCTGTTCCTGGCTAAGGGACTTGCTCAGCGTGGGTGCAGCTCAGTGGACTCCGGGGCTCAGAGGCTCCAGAGCATCCCCTGACAGGCCACGCGCCCACCCTGGTAGCAGGGACACCCTCACCTTTCCGGCCCGCGGGGCAGCGGTGGATCATTCCCGGGACAGTGGCAGAGGCGTCCCCGCGCGTCCCGGGCTCCGGCTGCCGCCTCGGGTCTCATGGTGCCCGCCGGGCCCGAGCCCTCCAGCCTCGGCTGCGACCCGACCGCGCCTGATCCGCCCCGGAGAGCGCGCTCACCTACCCGCGCGCTCCGCGCCAGGTTTAAAAACAAGGGCGGGACGGGGAGGGGACACGGGAAACTGCGCAGGCCG